ACACATCATCCCGCGTTTTCTGACTGGATGTCCAGCTAAATGTTCTTACAATCTGGTATGCGCTATCCCCATGTGCACGCCCGCGCGAGACGACTTTTGAGAAATACATCCAATCATATCTGGAGTAGGGCTTGGCGTTTTAGTTGGGTTTTCAATGTCGCCCCACAACTGGCTCCCACGCTTGACTTCGGAATCCCCATGTGCTTGCCGGGGTGACATGACGTCCAGCTAAATGTTCTTGCGAGCTGGTATGCGCTATCCCCATGTGCACGCCCGCGCGAGACGACTTTACAAGGTGGGACGACTCAAGCCGACTACCCTGTACTTGTGAAACACAAGCTTTCTCTGCGTTTCGATTTCACAAAACAAACGTTCATGTTGGAGGATCGAAAGTATTTTCATTTGCGATTGTGTTTACTAGGTTTACCCATGAAACTTACTAATAATATTACATAGTTGTTTTTATCAAAACCTGCCAAGAAAACATAGCATCTACATGCGGCGAACTCCGATGTTTTCCACACTGCTGTGAACGTAGCTTCTGTCGGATTTTGGCATCCATCTATACAGTATTATACCGCCGTCCTGGACGCACGAGCGGATTTCGAACACGCAAAGCAAAAGGATGACGTCTCGTACGTTTCCTTTTGGGCGGAGTGGGTACACAAGAACTTGGTTTTTGGAAAGCTTTTTTCACAGTGGCTTTCGGAAGTGTACGAACTGACCGCTTGGCGGCCTTTCGTTGTACCATTCCTGCCAAAAGTGGTCTCTTTGGAAGAGATCCTTGCGGCCCCAGCGCTTTGCACCAGTTCCTCCAATCGCACGGCGTCCATATGTCCGCCACGCCGATGATGCGATGAGCCATTTGCTTCTGCGTGTTCTGTCTTTGTAGTGGGTGATACAAAGATGCATTGTGACTGCTAAGCTTCACGAAATGAAAAAACTTGAGCTTGATTTCGAGGGTTGACCGATGCATGGAAACCTTAGCTCACACGATGATTCAACTTTACTGAACAGTCTACTAACAAAACGATCAACATCATAGAGAGAAAGCCAAGAAACAATCTCGCGGAACCAGCTGTTGATCTCATGGTGTAAAGACTCATTCGATGTAGTGCCGCTTGGAAGCAAACATATCTGCGACATCTTGCATGCATGACGATACCTGGTGTCATTGAAGAGCCATTGAATCTTGGCCGGAGTGGTAAGATTGACCAGCAAGCGATGCAACGTCGGTCCAGCAAACGTCGTCTTGGTCATTTCATCGGCGAAAAGCGAACAAATAGCTGCCACGGATTCCAAGAACTGCGTTTCTGTTCGATAAGGCACATCTGGGTCCATTCCTTCCAGAACAGCTTTTGCTTCGATCTCGGACATGTCTTTGTTGACAATCAAGGCACTCAAACGTTTCTCTTCGGCTGTGTAGGAAATTTGCTCGACGCCAGTGTACATAGGTCCCCAGGACTGCGCACTGCAATCTGGCATAACATTTCTGAATTTGTTCATCACGGTTGCCAACCACCTGCTGCCCTTTGTGCTCCTGTTGTTGTGATTCTGCTCGTATACCATTACGATGTGCATTGCGTCCAGAGAAAGAGACCTCAAATTCGGACAAACTGCCTTGAGGTTAGCTAACATCTCAGGACTAGGACAGTCAGATGCAATGTGCAGCACTTGCCACCGCTGAGAATTGGAAAACGAAGAGGACAATGCGTCGGCGATGAGGGCCGATGCTTCCGCAGTGCTAACACCGCATTGCTCCGTCCACGCACAGTCAGGAGCTTGTACACGGAGTTCATGTCGTCTATCGCAGCCGCTTCCCGATCCTCCTGGCTCTGGTTGAATCGTGCCTCGCCCAAAATCTTCATCATGCACTTTACTGTTGCGTCGATGCTCAAATATTCGAACTCGCTCTTGATCTCACACTCATGTAGAAGTTCATGCATTTTCGCTGCCATGTGCGGTGACTGCATGAGGGCTTCCATAATACTGCACCAGAATGAGTGACTTGCTTCTGGCAACAACGAACTTAGCTGCCCTCCCGAACGAGTGGCAGAAGTTGTAAATGTCGCAGCAATTTGTCGAAAAGAGCATCGACTCGCTACCGCGCTGCATAAAAAAGGCATTCGCAAATAAGCGGTTGTAGTACACATTGCCAACTCGGCGAAGATTCTGTGATCGTCTGACGCATGTAGTCGACATAAAAAATGGACCGTTCGACCCCATGCACAAGCGGCAGTGCGTGTCGATGCAGTTCTTTCTAGACGAACATTGTGGTTTCACTTGCTGACGCAACAATTCAGCAGAGCGCTGCAGGTAGTTGCCAGGGTTTTCGTTCCGTACAGCGTCATCATCGTACATGGACGCAATGATACGAAGCTGCTTGGTTCCAGATGCAACAAAACGCTTTGATGCGGAATGATGCTTGGTGACATGTGTCACTAGGAGACACCGTTTATCGAAACGCCTCCATGGACATAAGGGACACACCTGAGATGGAAAAGCTGAACCTTTTGCAGTCTCCAAAGATTTCAGCAGGTCCTTCACCTCGGTTTGGAGCAAGGCACGCAGCTGGTCACCAACATCAACGTCGGCCTCGGCGTCTTCAGCTCCTCCGAGCAGATCGCATTGCGGCAAAGGACCACCTGCCACCAGATCCAACAATTGCTCCTCTGACGACGTCATGATTGGCTTCGCGCTTTGTATGCAAAAAAACACAGTGCTGACTCCTTCACAACATTCAGAGAGCATATCTCGAAAAGCATCGACTGTCATCTTGAAAACCTTGCACTCGTAGAAGATGCCCAACCGCCCATCTGCAACTGTTTTAACAGCGAAGCAACACGGGCCGAAGGACAAGTGTACGTGGACAAGGAAAAGTGCACCTGCTTCAGACGGCAGTGGAAAGCTTGGCTTCAGGTAGTGTTTGCCGTCTTTCAGATTCCAGTCTCTGTAGCATCTGTATCCATGTTGAGAAGCTCGTGCGTTAATTCGATCATCTGTCTGCAAGATCTCTGCTACAAATGCCCACTTATCTGTTAGGTAAGCATAGGAAGATGCTATGCAGTTGCGAGATTGCAGCAGTGTCTCCCAAATACTTGCATCGATAGTTGATACACGCACAGACTGACTTTCCAATGCAAACAACATCTCCCGCAGTGGCTTGAACTTCTTCTCCCGGATACTGATGCAAAAGCCTGTGTGCCGCAGAATCTCGGCGTCAGCGATATCAACCAAAGCTTTGTTCTGGTGCTGGTTTTCCACTGCTTCCACTAGCTCGGCAGACGAAGTGGAGAGAGACATGCTTGCGTGCAGCATCGACATCCGCCACTAAGTCCAACAGACTGGCTAAACACATGTCCTCTGCGGCTTGCCACCAGTACGCAAAGACAGTTGCCTCGGGCCAGTTCGATTTGCTGTAGCCGTTCTTCCCGTCTTTAACGCTCTGGTAGATACCTGGACATTGTGTGACAGCAAGCCACCGCAAACAACGACTCTCTGCAGCCAAATCCGTCAAAAATCGTAAGCCTTCGGCAGACACATTCGTGACCGATGAAACAGCTTTCCCACAGGCTACATGTAGAAGAGTAGATTTGCCTTGGGCATGACTGCAGCAAAGCACCTTTTCGCAAACATGCAGTCTGTCCTTGGCCACTGCGCGCCAACATGGCAAGGCTGGCAATGTCTGATGGAAAGAAACCTTGAGCTTGTCGACCAGCTGAACGACGATTGAAAACATACTTGCATGAAAGTCGAAATCTCGAACATTTGTACAAGCAGCCTCTCGGAACACTCGTGAGAAAGTCTGCGCACTCACACCTGTCGACGTACGTCGGGAGCGTATATCCGACTTATATGTGTAGGTGCATTGGACAGCCATCTCAAGCGCCTCGGCATCCTGCGCCCACCAATTCTGCAACGCCAGCAGGAGCTCACGCTCCCGCGCCAAATGTGCCTCAAGGGCTTGAACGGCTGCATCTTGTTCTTCCTGCTCCGCACGCAGATATTTTTTGTCTGTCTTATCTCCCTGCCTGGCAGCTTTCTTCAAATCATCCACTCTCGTCCGATGAGCTTTGCGAAAGACGACTATGTTAGCAAGACGTTCTTTTTGAAGGACCATGCGTTGGCGTAGCTTCTCGCAATCATACGAAAAGTCATCTGAGCATGATGGCCGAGAGTCACAACTTGGCAATTGCTTTTAATCATGAACTCGTTTTCGGAAAGCGCTTTCAGAACTGGATCCGCGCGTCCTGACGACTGAATCCAGTCCAGACATGCTTTCCTTGACAGTGTTTCATTTGATAGGCTGTGCACCAGTCCTTCGTGGCTTTTATCATCCAGCTGACAATTTCATCGCTCTGTTTCTGCAAAACCAACTTTGCAGCTTTTGCAGAGGCATCCTGCTCGAGATGACTGGTATCTTCAGTGCTGCGAGTTCGAAGTTGAAGTGCTTGTGGATCCTCTATTTGTTTCTTAACCTTCAGACCACAAGATTCTCGCACACAGGTCTCCGTTAGGCCTTCATCCTTGCCACCGACTACATAATCCTCCAAGAACCTTCTGCAATCAGCAGCGCTGTGGTCACGTGCAAACTGCCACAGCGTTCGTAAAGTCACAAGACACGCCGGCTTCGATCGTAGGAAATCCTTGAGCGTCGGGTCCTTCGGGAAGATGTCCTTGCTCTCGGCATCCTGGACTTTTTGTCGAGCCTTATAACGAACAGCCAAAGATCGTCGAAACATAGAGTTGAAGGTCTCCTCGTTGACACCCACGAACCTGAAAGCATATATGATTGTGTTCAGCCAAGAATCTGTCAACTACACTGATAAAGGCAAGCGACCTTGGCAACGTGTTGAACTCGAACCGCTTCCAACCCCGGAGTTCCACCAAGTGCGTGTCTATGGCATAGGGCATGCGCTCCGGAAGCTTGTCCGCAGACATGTGTTGCTTGTACACGTCTTCTCGCATGCCCTTGCGGCTACCCTGCACAGACTCCTGGCCCGTCACGACAAGTTTGCCTAGCAGAGAGGCAGCCTGTTTGCGCATTTCTTCATCTGAATAATAGATATTCATATCCAAGCATGAATGAAAACTGCCCAAGATGGCTTCCAGATGAGCAGTTTGTAGGCTTTGACCAACACCGCCAGAACCCAGGCCCCAAAAAGCGCGATCGACATTCTCACCGCGTATCGCTAAAGTGAGGGCTGCCATAAAGCATTTGAAGGCAGGACGGTTGCTCCAGTATGTTGTCTGCCAAAATTTGTGCACTCGCATCTTGGCGTCGGCAGACACAGGATCCAAGATACGATGCGGCAAAAATACGTATATGTTGTTAGAGCCAGACTTCCGTACCTGATTCAGGCCTTTGTCTTCATCAAACACCAAACAAATATCCTGGGCGCAAAAGCCAGATTTCCGAGGATCGTCGACGCGACACCATTCCACATAATACTTGATCAGATGATCTTGCAGCAGGGAACTTTGCCTCAGCAATGTCCATTACGGCAACATATCGGCCACTAATTCAAAAGAACGAAAACCTGCAGCCAGGACACAGTTTGACGTAGAGTTTGCCGACAGTGCTCGCCATGACTTCGGTCCATGGCTTGTCATCCTTCTCCTCCTCAGACGCATCTTCCTGGGCGACGGCATTCCCTCGACGCCGTTTGGAACTAGCGGGCCCACCGCAGATGGCAGCTCGTTCGCAGTCTTGAAGAAGCAGATCTGCCGAGCCATTACGGCAATGTAACAAAGCCGCTACTGCGTTGATAATGGCATCTGGAACGCGAAGTGTGCTAGCAGGTAAGAGTCTGTATAGGCCTTCAAGATAAAGTAGAAATTTCTTGCATCGTGCCAGAACTCCTTGGGGGATCACACCATTGTAAACAGCCCAGTGTCCATGCTCACTCAGAAAGAAGCACTGGCCATTGTGGGCTCTTACGTGTCGCGAGCCTCCTTCAATTAGCTCTAGGAAAAAGACTTCTTCTCGACGTGAGATGTCCAATAGCCGCAATCGATGCACACAAATAGCTCCCTGTACAACATGCTGTAATGAATCAGGCCATGAGCTGGATTGAGGAGACGAGGCGACCATGCTCTTCACTTCTGAGATCTCAAAGAGAATGTTGCCTTCTCTCCATTGGTAGACATCCAGGACCATTCCTTCCATCAGCCTGGTTTCATCTACATGCAGCAACCCTTCACCTAGGTCCTGTGAGTTGACTTTGCAACGTTTAAACGGCGGAGCTTCTGCCGGAGTTGCGACCTGAGTCTCCAGCTCCTGTTCCACCCGCTGTGAAAATGTTACATCGTCTGAGACAACATCAGGATCCGAGCCGCCAACACGATCGGAATCGGCGTGATTACCGCTTTCCCTGTTGCGACACCGCTGAAGGGTCATAATCGCATTTGCTTCCCCTTGCGTGTCGGGAACCTTGTCTACAAAGATTGCGTTCTCAGGATGGAATGAGACAACGTACATCGCTGACACCTGAGCATCGTAATACTGCTCTAATATCCATCTGTAGACATTGAGCTGCAAACGATAGTGCCATAGGGACGCATCGTGAACATGCTGAAGTGGAGACTTCATGAACTTGCCAAATGATGCATGCTTGTCCTTCAAGTTGCGGGCACGTTTCCAGTCGAAGAGGACAAGTGAACCGTCTGGTTCACGTGCTACAAAGTCAATAGAGCCTGCAACAGACTCTTCCGAAGCATATATTCTCCACTCTGTCCGATAGGCACAGGCACTTCCAATGCCACGGTCAGCAACGAAGCGCAGAAAACTTGCAACCTCCACACTGCGAGATGAAACGCAACCGCCATTGAGAAGACATTCTAATTGGCGGCAATGTATGCGGTTCCGGGACTTCTCCACCATGCTGCTTCAGATCATTCAGGAACTGCGCCAGCATGCTGGCTTTCCAGGGCTCATCACCGACGACGCCCAGGCGATGTGCCCATTTGTTGGCTTCGTTCGTTGCGCTTCTCCTGGCTACAGGATCGCCCAACCCGCCAACGCCAAGAACGGCTATTCTGCTTGCATGTGTTTCATAAGAGTACACCGTCCACATATGCCTGCGCTGCCATCGATTGAGATCAGAAGCGCTGGAAACCTTTGCTGAACAGATCTGATATGGCAGAATCGATGGGCTCTCTTTACTATGCTTTGAATTAAAAGCATAAAAGCGGCCTGAGAGGGATCATCATGAGCGGAATCGTCTCGTAAGACATCGAGCTTCACAGCACCCCTGGTACACTGTTCCAGATGCGGGTCATGATGTGAAGAGCCAGGAAGAGGACGCGAATCAAATCGATGTATAGGAAAAGCCACAGCCTGAGATTTCAGACAATGTCATGTCCGAACTAATGGAACATCATCCATGTTCGTACACGCACCGGAGTCATGATTGGAAGAACTGACATATGTAAATACGTATCTATATCTATATTATCTATATCCCTATATATATATATACATATATGTAAGGCCCAAGCTGCGTTGTCTTTGTCGTCATCTCTTGCGCTGGATATGACCTGTCAGGCATTCCGCGTTTTTCGCTTAACTATATGCAGAACATACTCGGTAGAGTGTGGTGTTCGTTGAGAGACTATATTGATGCGTATATAAGGTCTGACTGTCATCTCTTTTTCTAGCTTCTTTCCTGCAACTGCTCTGCGCGTGTAAGAACTCAGGATCAGGAAATACGTTCTGCGACACAAGTCGTTTTACCAGTACAAACTCAGCCCCCTTGACATCGCCTCGGGCAGTTTCGTGTTGAAGCGGCATCAATTCCTCATCATAGTTCATAAGCACAACGACTCACATGTTTTAGGTCTGCCTTGTCTACTACCCACAAGAGAAAGCTCGAGATCAATGTCCTTGCGCTGATCGAACCACACAGATACAATTTTGCACAGCTACGAAAATTCTTTGCTGAATCTTACAGTCCACCAATTCAACCAAGAGATCTGACAGCTTAGCATTTCGTATTTACAGGCCTCATCCTCCACAATGTCCAAACGGCGTGCCCCTTTCTTGGCTTCGTTCCTCGAGTTGATCCTGATTTCATGACTCTCACGAGGATAACAGTATAATATGATATGTCAGACTTGTAAGCTGGGCACAGATGCCTCCTCTGCCATCGAAGAGCCTTGCTGGGACGGATGTGAGTCTGGATCATGGGTAAGGGTAAATTCGTTTGCACTTAGAATGGAGCGGCGACTTCAGCTGGAGCATGGGGAACGGAGTTGTCTTGGGAGACCATCCTGGGATAGTGCTCATATACGCACCAACTAACGAAAGCATCAACAACTTAGAATAATTTAAGATAATCTGCACGCGAGCAACTTTGAACCGCCACCTTGGAGATCATCGGCACTCGTTGATCCGTTTCCTTGTACTGCCTCGTTGCAAAGCACACGAAGACCGTGATTAGTAGCGGAAGCTCTCAAGATGATCGCGCCTGTACTTGAAAAAGACCGTCCAGCTTGTTCACGTTGAGGTGAAAGCGACGGTGCTTTTTGGACCATCGAAGCGCAGCTTCTCGATCACTGTTCAAACAAACCGGCTCCCACTGGTGCGTTTTGTGACCTTGATTGACGAAAATCCATCTGGGTCTCTTCGCAGTGCAACAAAATGCTCGTTGAAACAGATCACGAAGTTCCCGTGCAAGCTGATGGCATGCGGGGGCACTGCAACAAGGCAACGCCTTAGATGACTTTGGTGGACGTTTATAACAAAACGCCACGGCGTCACATTTGCAGCACAGACACCCATAGGGAGCCAGAAAACGGTTACCGTCAGCTTGCGCCCAGAAGGGGCCATGGTCCACATACGGGATCTTGTAGCCGAAGCAACTGAGTGCGTTGATCAGGCAGACGTCCTCGAAGACCCCGACCTGTCCTGCAAATGTCACATGCACCGTCTTGAGTTCGACCTGAAACTCTCTAGGAATCATATTTTCTGGCCTTTACGATGCCTGTCATCGTGCAACGGCATCATGCCTTTCAAGCAGACATTAGTGAGATGACCACACTGGTGACCACACTACAACTTTAGTGCAAAAGTTGGTTGGCACCTGAACGCAGATCACTTGGGCGAAGCTTCGCACCGGAATCGCTGGTCCTCACACCTGTGTTCATTGTCGACTGTGAACTTGTAAAGGCTTGAGTAGTACACATACAGAGCCTCTGCGGGAGCGATATCCTTTGTACCAGGCCGTGCGACTGATGCGTCTCCACGAGCACACATCCTGCATGAAAGCAAGGCTTCGTGAGATTCAGTTCTTAATTTCGCATCGTAGTAGAAGGATTTCTTAATAAAGCAAAACGATTTCCTTGTTGACCGGCATATGGCTGCTGGTAGGGCGGTTGCGAGTCCAAATCGCATGGGCCAGCTCATCACCTGATGCGCACATGTTTCAAGTGTACCGATTCACTCGTCTGTGTGACTGCTGTGGCGGCTGTGTAGCTAATTAAGTCTTGAAACACCATCCTGAGGAAGGAATGCAGATCGTCTCCGCAGCGGGAGTTTGCCGCTTTCCAAAACCACTGCTGTTCCCTGAGCTAAGCAGCAATGCGTCAACGAAAAACACATGAACTTTGATCGTTCACGCCGTGGGGCAGCGAACATCGACAGGCGCAGTACTGTCCAGCAAGTCCTTGAGATTCTGCTGGGTCTTCCTTTCGGCCTGACTGACGTAGATTGGGTCGAAGCTTTTTGTCACCCATCCACGCCTCCTGAGTCGTCCGAATGTATAGTGAGGCCAGATACTGCTTCACCCTGGCAAAAGGGGAAACCAGCTTACACTGAAACAATCGCCAGATCACATGTACACCGTTACATCGCGAACCTCACACGGACGCGTGCCTTCACGGCTTCTTCGGAACTCAAAGACGACTGCCTGAAGAAGTATACGTCAAGTAGGGTCAGCATGCTACGACCTGGATTTCTCGATTGAGGAATTGAGACTTCGGCTTGACACGGAAATCTTTCATCACAATCCCGTTCTCGTTTCGGAAATTGCACCTGTGGCAGTGATCCGGACAGGGTGGGTAAGTCATGACAACGTTAAGCTCCGTGCTCTGCGAAGATCAGCTTATCCAGATGGCTTCCCTTCTTCGTCACCCTGCGTCAGAGTCTGCTTTATTCACTGATTGATAAACATTGTCATCATAAGGCAGCATAAGCCAAGATCCGCACTCAATAGGAACCTCCTGGATATTCTCCTTCTCTTCCTGGCATCTTGGTGGTCGTTTCTGCAGAAACGGATTCAGTTTAGCATGACAGACAAGAAAACAACTGAATACAAAGACACGTGTGCAAAGATGCTACTTTTAGTCTTTACGTTTGGAAACGATCGTCCTCATTGTTCGAGTCCACTTCCGCCACAGGCCTCAGAGTTGAATGACGCGAAAACGATATTGGTTGCATGATATACCCTGCCCGCACGTAAGCTCCACACTCTGTCTTCTGCCAACGCCCAGCGTCATTTAAAAACCCTGGCCAGATGACATCATATCATGCACACCTGAAAATGAAAGGGAATGAGCCAGGTTCTCATCGACTGATCTTGACCTTGCGGAAAGAAACCTCATCAGGCTCGGCCGTGCTTGCGGCCTCACACCTGAGACATCTTTCATTGGAACAGAAAAAAAGCTGTGTGTGTGAACCAGTCAAGTCGCTGAGTGGATCCTTCACAAAGACCACCGAACCCTGAGCGACATGGAAGTTCATTACAGCTGACTTCGATAGATCTTCCTGCAGGCCAGCAGCTGCTCGCTGCATGAGCCAACGACTTGTTCAGTGTGAACCTGAAGCAGCAGTGTTATACAGAGATAGACCAACTTTAAGCCCTACATCTTGGCTAAACGAAAGAAAGAGCCAGGCGCTTGCAGATTTCAACGAAGACAGAAGATAGAAACATTAAGACAGGAGGCTCCACGTCTTCATCAGCAAACCAAGGATACCGAGAGAATCGGTTCATGGTCACCTGAACTGCAGTATAGATTTTACGTTGTTGCTTTAGATGCAACTGACTGATTGTATCGTTCGCCTGAGTGCCCGGCGAGAAGATACGGATCGAATTGCGACTGCTACTTTTGTGTGCTCAAGCCAAGACTTCACATGTAGCAATCAGATTGACAGAGACTCGATGCCTATACCGGTATAAATGTGGCCCATCATCCGAACTGCCCTCGGATACTGACACCTCCCAACAGCCGAGTCAGGATGACATGAGTCAAGAAGCCAAAGATCTACATCGTTGTCCAAAGTGCACATTCATAGACACATCAGTGTACATTCCTAAGCAGTCTGAATCTCATGCCAAAGTAGACAACGAGACGATACTGCAACTACGGTGCGCATATTTCGCTCCGTGAGTACCAGTGTCATCCTCGAGACGATTGCGGCGATTGCGGATGCAGAACTTAACTATCAGTCCCACTTCCGGAAGAAATAAACTCCGCTGAAAATCAAAGGTTTTGGTTCTGTAGTCAGTCAAAAGCAAGAAGTTATCCGAACATTAATCTCGGATCTTGGAATCGTGCTTGTCGTATTCTCAACTGTCACACTGTCGTTCTAACTGACACTGGGTCGTAAAGTTTATAATTTGGCGGACATTCGAATTCGGGTCAAAGCAGGACGCGCGTATTGCCACCATGTTCGCTTCAATATACCGAACCGGCTTTCTTTGTACTTTCCAACTGGCTCTCCTGTCGTTTTGAGGGCGGCCGGCTCGCCGAAGGGCGGCCGGCTCGCCTGTCGTCTTGACGGCGGCTAGCTCGCCAAAGGGCGGCTAGTGCTGGCGGCCTCGCACCTGAGACATTTATCATTGGAAGTAAAACAGCTGTGTGTGTGTGTAGACCAGTCAAGTCGCTGAGTGGATCCTTCACAAAGACCACCGAACCCTGAGTGACATGAAAGTTCGCTACAGCTGACTTCAATAGATCTAGTTGCAGACCAGCGGCTGCTCGCTGTGTGAGCAAACGATTTGTTCAGTGTGAACCTGAAACAGAAGCATTTATACGGTGACATACCAGTTATCAGCCCCACGTCTATATTGAAGGAAAGAAAGATTCAAGTGCTTGCATATTTCCGTTTGGATAGAAGCATTAAGACAGGAGGCTCCACGTCTTCATCAGCAAACCAAGGATACCGAGAGAATCGGTTCATGGTCACCTGAACTGCAGTATAGATTTTACGTTGTTGCTTTAGATGCAACTGACTGATTGTATCGTTCGCCTGAGTGCCCGGCGAGAAGATGCGGATCGAATTGCGACTGCTACTTTTGTTTGCTCAAGCCAAGACTTCACATGTAGCAACCAGATTAACAGAAGCTCGATGCCTATACCGGTATAATCGTGGCCCATCATCAGAACTGCCCTTGGATACTGACACCTCCGAACAGCCGAGTCAGGATGACATGAGTCAAGAAGCCAAAGATCTACATCGTTGCCTCAAGTGCACACACGTAGCCAAATCAGCCTACATTCCTAAGCACTCTGAACCTGATGCCAAAGTGGAAAACGAAACGATATTGCAACTACGGTGTTCATATTTCTCTTCGTGAGTACCAATGTCATCCTCGAGACGATTGTGGATGCATAACTCAACTATCAGTCCGACTTCCGGAGAAAGAAAGGCCACTGAACTTCAAAGACTTGGTTATGTAGTCAGTGAAAAGTAAGAAATTCTCTGAGCATTGATCTCGGATGTTGGAATCAAAGCAGGACGAGTGTAAAATCAGGCCCAGCTAAGCTACGATGCTCCCTTCAACATATCGGACTGGTTTTCTGTGTACTTTCCAACTGAGGACCGTCACTGGATCTTGCACTATAGCTAATGCAGACATCCGTCGAAGCTCACGGGCCAAATATGGAAATAATGGCTTTGGTATGAGCAATTGTAACAATCATCAAGGCAGCCGGCTCGCCTGTCCTCTCGGAATCATCCGAAATCCACATCTCATTGATACAGAATGTGATGCTTCTTACTAAGTCGTCCAAACGTCGATGGCTTGCATAACACGTCTAGAACATTGTTACAATTGGCTAGGCGAAAAGTATGTCCTGCGCATTGACACACGCAAAAACTTTCACTAAACCCTGGGATATCTGTATGGAGGCTATTCTTGCCTGCGAACCAGTTATGTAAAAAAATGAAAACTACCGCCGGGGAGTGACTACTCGATGCGGCAAACTGCCCATAATGGTTGCAAAAACATCGAGACTGAGGAGCGTTCGGCTCGCCGCCGAAGAGTGACCAGCTCGCCTGAGGGCGGTTGGTTTGCCTGAGGTCGGACAGCTCACCAGCTTTGTGGGCAGCCGGCTCGGCGAAGGGCGGTCGGCCAGCTTGCTCTGACAGGGGCCAGCTCGCTAGCCTGAATCATCTAGCTGGTTCTGAACTTGTTTCAAGCATATGAGGCCGTCAGAAAGGCAACTGCGAGTTGTTGAGGGCCAACCACGGTCTCCGCACCCTAGCACTTGTGGTTACCATCGGCGTGGGAGATACGAAAAAAATGGCTGACTGGGTAGCAGTTCTGCCGTCATCTGCAAACAACGCACGACTCGGAATTGAATGACATGGACACACGGATCATTAAGATGATCCAGCTGCTGGACAATACATTCCATTTCTCGAATCAGAAAACGTCAACAACCGTATCTGCGACATCATGTAAACTTCTTTTATTGTAGCGTGATGTACTCAGCGAAGTTATACTGTGTGGTATGCAAGCACTGAGGACCACCGTCGACTGCAACAGCCAGAAGATTAAACATCCGGGTATACCTTGTGGAATGCTGGTGTAGAGAAGTCGTCCGTTTAGATCATGGCTGAAGCAATGTCACCCTGCTGCAGACATACTGGGAAGTATTGACAAACATTGAAGGACACGAAAAAGGCAACGTTCAAGAGGTATAACAAACAATTCTCGGCATGTTGCTGTACGCAATTCCTGCATCTGATTTCTGGCCTATACAGCGCCAACTTAACGCCAAAATGCTCTGAAAGTCTTTGCAAACGCCGCACGGGACATAACGCAACACTTGCCAAAGGTCTTACACACAATTTTCGGAACATTGCTGCAGAGAATTCTTGCGTTTACGTCGTGGTCTATACAATGCCAACCTCCTGTCAAAACGCTGGGATCGTCGGAGCAAATGCCGAACGAAACATGCCACAGAACGTGCGCGGGCTGCGAGGGGTTTTGCACACAAGTGTCGGAATGCTGTCGTAAAAAACTCTTGC